TAGATTTTACTTATGGATGGTCAGGGGTCTATAGTGAGAATATGACTTCTCACAGTGGAATAGGTTTCATTTAACCCCATGATGAACTTAAATACCGACTCATTTTGTCATTTTGTCTCAGCTCATAGAGATTTCTTTGAGAGCACCACAAGACGAACTTAAATACCTGCTTTGTCTCAACTCATAGAGATTTATTTGAGAGCACCACAAGATGAACTTAAATACCTGCTCATTCTCATTTTGTCATTTTGTCTCAGCTCATAGAGATTTTTTTGAGAGCACCCGCTCATTTTGTCTCTGCTCATAGAGATTTCTTTGAGAGCACCACAAGATGAACTTAAATACCCGCTCATTTTGTCATTTTGTCTCAGCTCATAGAGATTTCTTTGATAGCACCACAAGAACACTTGGGAATCCAATTCATCCCAATACCTAGAGCATGGTGGTCTTGAACATGGTTGGAAAATACGACGAGTAATGCGATGGATTTGGGCTGCATTACCTATGTGATAGATTTGGGTTGCATTACCTTGTGAAAAGCGCTCCCATAGATCCTCGCATGCTTTCTTCACTGTGCCGAAGTAAATGACATTGTTCGTGAGGTTTTTGCAAATAGCATTCAAAATCTATGAGCGAACCGTTGTGAGGGCGAATTCTCCTTTGGTTGAACAAGGGTTCCATCGATGAAACCGAGCTTGTGTTTGGCCTTGAGGGCTGCAAGCCCTCTTCCATAGGAGATAGTTTTCTTTAGTGAGTTGTTGGATAACATCATCCCTGGATTATCCGAATGATGAACATAGAAAGGAGAAGAAGTGAGGAAATCGTCTCTTCATAGCTTCCTTCATAATTGGTTTTGTATCCACTTTCCATTGACATGATTGTGATGCAATATGGTCCCTATGGACCACCTCTTTTCCTTATCCTAAAAAAGACCTTTTTGCAGGTATAGTTAGCATAAGGCTGGTAAGAAGTCCGCTTAGAAGAAACCAGCGGAGAAAGCCCTAGCTGAAAAGAAGCCGAGGGGCGAGAAAACTCTTGCTGACGTTGGAAGGCTTTACAGATAAAAACGATGATGAATGAGTCTATGTGGACTGAGTACACTGTTCAAGGAGTGTGGGACACAGGCAGCACCAGGAGCAGGAAAAAAAAAAAAGGAACCCGCTCACTTTTGGATGAAGATTCCGAGGACTTCTCACTCTCTCTACTCTAGAGGGAAGGAGGGAAATGGCAAAATACCGAGCTCAGCTGATTTTGGCAAGAGGAATGGGAAATTCAAAGGATTATGCTTGAAGGTAGTAGAAGCCCTAGAAACCCCAGCTTTGCAAACTGCTGCAAACAGAGATTTTGATACAGAAAAGCTTTTGCAACAGGACTCAAAAGCTTTTGCAAACATCTTCTTCCTCCATTGCTGAAATCTAGGGAGAGAAGAAAACCCAATAGATTGATGGAAAAAAATGGGAGCCTGCAATTTCTCTCCCGCTCTCACTGCAACCCTAGAAAGAATGATGGCAGTGGCTAGGCGGAGCAGAGGGGAAAAAATTAGAACGCGTAGAGAGAGAAAGAGTCATGGGTATAGAGAGAGAGAGAGAGAGAGAGAGAGAGAGAGAGAGAGAGAGAGTAGTATACGTAG